TTGCACTGAAATCATCTAATATATTGAAATGTCATAACGATGTTCCCTGGTAGATATTACTATGCTTAAAAGTTAAAAGCATTCCTATTTGGATAATCTATATGATCTATCTATGTACATGAAAAAGAAAATTTTGGAACATCTGGTTTCATAAATTATTCAAAGAATTGCAGTTTTGCTTGCCCAATGAACCAATACAGAAGCTAAACTGACAAAGTGACATAGCAGATAAATAATTTTAAATATGTGGTCAATTAAACAGAACCATGATTGTTATTTTTGACTAGTTACATGTGGATCCTACATCAATCTAGATGGTGTTTCAGAGAAGTCGCCATCTGTCTTTATGTGTATGAGGGCATGTTGATAATGCATAGTATCAGTTGTTGGATTGGATATGCTGTCATGCCATGAAAAGAAATTAGAGTGGCATTAAGATCATTTAACATTTTAGCAACTGACTCTGCCTGACTTTCATGCCCTTCGTGACAGTTGACTATTCTAGATGTCTCTTTCATATTTGTAATCACTTGCCTAAATTTCACAGCATCGTCTGATGACGCTTATGCAGGTCTTCATGCTCTGCACCTGATGAATTGAGCCAGCAAGAAATGCAACTACTTCTCAGGCAGTATGAAGGTTTGCTTTTTTACTTCCAAAAACCATCAATGTAATGTATGATTATGGTGTTGCCAGAATTAAGGTTTGCCAGTTTTTCATTTCTTGATGTAGATACTTTGTGTGTTGGTTTTGCTTTTTGTCATGGACGTTTGTGCCTCGGAATTCAGATGATGTTGGTTCTGAGAGATGCATATTAATACTTATGAGGACGGTGTGCAGCATACCCTCTGGTTTCATAATCTCCATATTTTTCTTGAATCAATTTTCCATTCTATTGTTTTGATTATACTTGTCTGTTTCGTGAAACTTTCAGAAGATCATTGAATATCATGCCAAAGGATTCTTAAATTTAGGTCTATATGATGTTTCACGTCGTATTATCATTGAAAAAGTTGAAACTCTTATGCAGATCTCATAAGGCAGAGGACAAGTGCATGTTTCAAGCAAGATTCTTCAGAGATAGCAGCATCAAGTCTTGATGCCTTGGCTGCTGCTGCAGCGCTTGGAGATGTGGGAAACCAAACCACAACTCCATATGCAACTACCACTAAACATCCACGACATCGCCCAGGTTGCACTTGCATTGTCTGCATCCAGCCACCCAGTGGAAAAGGTCCAAAACATGATCCCACATGCACGTGTAATGTTTGCATGACCGTGAAACGCCGCTTCAAAACTCTCATGATGCGGAAGAGGAAACGCCAGTCCGAGCGTGAGGAATCTGAGGTCCATAAGAAGGTTCCATGGGGAAGCAAGGAAGAGGTCGAAGGAACGAGCAGCTCCTCGAAGGGTGCTCACCATCTGGATCCGCATCAGGAGAATGAATTCAGCCCTGTAAGTAGCAGGACAATCATGGAAAATGTTGAGGTGAGCCAGGGGCAGATAGACCTCAACTGCCACCCAATGTCTCATGATTCACAGGCATTAAATCCCAGAAACAGCATGATGAGCCTTCTCCAGGATGCATACCGGCCCTTGGAGACATATCTTAAGCAAAACGGACTTACAAGCTTGGCTAGTCAACAAAGTAAACAGGGGAGTCCTAGTTCGCTAACTGTTCCCCAGGCCCCTGGAGAAAGCGAAGGAAAAGTCCCAGATGAAAGCCATTTTGCCTCTGCATCGAAGGAGCAAGAAGGCGGCGATGACGAAGGAGATGTTGGCACAGACATGGCTACCAGTGATGCTTCTTGAATACGTCCTGTGGTGACCGAAGAAGGTTTGAAGAGAAAAAGAGAAACACAATATCGTTATTTTGGTTTGTGAACTCGTCGTCTTCCAAGTGTAGCCTTGTTTCTCTTTCCATGCCTCTCTCTACTTTTTGATGAGAATGCTGAGCAGTTTATATCAGGGTGTTGAAGTGTCCATCATACTTCATGGCGCACAAGGTTCGGTTTGTTCTTCCTCTTCCGAACTTAAGATTGTATCTTATGTATTTGGTACACTTATTCTCCGTTGTGTTCCATATTGGGTTTCCTTGGCATGTATACCCTTAGATCAATGTACTATTTTTGTATCCTCCAATCTAGCATAACCCTCTTGGATTATTTCTTCCTGTGGCTGAAATGCTACTTTGAATGTTCTTCTTCTGAACTATGTTTATGTTGTTCGTTATACCAAGTTATGTCGGCTTGGTCTTTTCTTTTCCCCTTTTGCTTGTTATTTTTCAGCAAAAAATATCATGTCCCGCCATGCTATTTAGCACTCCAAATGGCATTGATTATGTTTAAATATGTTTTCGACCTCATTATTTTATCTACATAATAATATTTATAGCATCAATAATCATGTATTATATGTGACCCATTATGAAGGTGGTGGGTGGTCTACTTTCATCTACAAATACCTACACTTAGCATTCCTCCACCTATCATCAGGTGAGGCAGAAAAGAAGAACAAACCCCATTGACCACTGTGGGAAAGCTTTTGACTGCTCTAATGATCCAAGCAATCTCCAATTCAATGAACATGTCAGTCACATTCTATTTGCATCAATGTCATCATCTCTGTTATGATCGATTCCATTTGGTCCCTTCCTATCCTTTTACAACACTCTGCTCATGGTTTCTATATGGTTGGTTCTCACATTCTTCTCAAAGTTAGCGAGACTCTCATCCTCTCATGTCGATGGAGAGGCATACAAATTAGCAGTTCGTGGATCACAACACCATTGACTCCACTTTGTGGCATTCGATGAACTCGATCTACGTTTTCTATATACATATTTTGTGAAGATGAGGCGACGGCTGCAGGCTTCCTCGGATCGTGGCCATCAATTTAATATCCACTTTTATATGATTGTTTGAATCGAGATTAAAAATAATAATTAAAATTAATAATAATATATCCATCTGATACTATTTAATTTTCATAATAATCTGATGTTACTCTCTAATAAGATTTAAGATATAATGTATACTCCTAAAAGAAGTAGCCTTAGTGTCAAATTTTAATTCATCTAATATTTTCTGAAAAGCCTCGACTTGAGGTGAAAGTTAACGATTAACGAGATCGGGATATTAACGAGGATTCGAAGAGTTAGATATATTATTTTATACTTGGAGAGACCCTCACGTTGTTACCTTGGTGTTATTGACCAAAAGTTCAACACAATTTGGTTCGATCCTAAAGGCATAGATCCATCGTGAGGGCTCATGTCACGAATGACGAGACAATCCGAGTGGGCAGTCAAGACGATAGGTAAACTCCCGAGGCGTTGTTGGCTCATAGTGGCTGACTTATGGTTGTCACGAGGTGTGGCTCGTTTGCTAGAGGAAGTTCGAGATTGTCTCGAGGGACGCCTTGACCTTGTTTGGAAGTACTTTGCGTCGCTCCGAGGTACTCTTTGGATACGTCTGGGCCTTATACAAGTGGTCGATATCGGAAGATATCTCATCTTAAGCCCTTCGATGCTCAAATTAATAGAGTAGGTAGAGGAGGTTCAATAGAAATCAGAAGAGTTGATTGCATCATATCAATAATCATTATTATTTATTTGGAAGGGTGTTGCAGCATTAAGTATAGCCGACCGTCTTCATCTTCTGACGCGTTCTGATGCGTGACTTGTCACCATCCAATGGCTGCTGATGCACTCACAACAACACGGTGGAGGACGTATTCGTGGGCGCCATTCCACCAATTACAAGACTCGATATCTATCGGCGTGCCAAAAGCCAAACGCCGGAGCTCCGTCTTCTGCTCTGATTCCGCTGTTGCGTTCTTCGAAGACTTTGATACCTGGGGATGATATCTTTGTCTTGTTTAAGCGCCGCGCAACCGAATCCGAGTCGTCCCTTTCGCAATTATTGAGGGGATTCAATGGAAGCAACTGGGGGAGGGAAGAAGAAGAGCCTTCCCCTCCGTGTTCCCGGGTCATGCTTACGACACCACCATGGAATAGAAGAAAGAAGAGGAAATGCAGATTCTGCGGTGATCACCCCTGCAGGTCTGCTTCGCCAAGTCCAAGGCTGATTCATGACACCATCTCGATCAAGGTTTGTTGCATGAATGCATTGGTATTATTTCGGATGGCGATCTGCTTCTGGTCCATAGATCAGCGAGCTGATCGGTCGAGTGAATCTTGTTGATTCGCGTCTTTCACCTAACACGTAGAAAAACAACGCGAATCAATGGCTTCTCACCCGACATTTGTTCGGACATTTCGGATTTCGCGGTGCCAAGCAACGTAAAATTGATGGGTCGTGTCGGCATCTGCCCCCGCGTTTACCCTCTCGGATGTGGTCTCTTCGCTCCGTGAATGCCGAGGGAATTGACCTTGGTCTAGAACTCGCTCGAATTGGGTTCTACGTTTTCTTCTTAAAGATGGGATTTTCAATGCGGATTCGAGCGCGACGGGGGCTGCGGAGCGGCGCAGGGAGGAACGAGGAAGAACGGAACGGGGTTTGGTCCCGAACTTGTCGAATCGAGCACAAAGATCCAAACTTTGGCCGCTAAACGTTGGTGAAGCCTCGAACTTTCAGGCTTCTAAGTTACTGTACTTGCCGTCCGAGGCGGTGGGTCGCAGTAGGAAGAAGGGTAGCGATAAAGACAAGGAGGGGGGGTTAAGGGTGAGGTTTTCGAGGATTAGGGTTTGGTCGGTGCCGCAGCATTAGACCCGACGGGTAACGATCGGTTTCGTCTCTACCGCCTCGCAGCGGCACCGCTCCACATGGTTTGGCCCACCTCAGAGCTCTCCGACCCGCTGCTCTCCACCCACATGCTTCGTGCTTCCCTTATCACCTTCATTTGTTCGTTTATGAGCGATGAATCGGTGGCCACATTTCTCGATCCCTATCTGCGGAAACGATACAAAGGTACCTAAGGCGAATTTTATGACGGGGGTTTCTTCGATCGAGAGAGGTAGATTTGCATCTCAGATTCTTCTAGGTTTAGCATTTTCCCCGTTGTACTATCAGTAGTTGGTGGTGGATGGGTGTGATAGGTGTGCCCGGAGGAGAGACCAGTTTTGATGCAATGCCTCCCCTCCTCACGTGGTTTCGCTGCTTTTACATTCCTCCATCTGCCCGAATTCTCATGGCTCCATCTTTTACTCGCTTTTTGTTTCCTTTTGGGCTATACTTTTGCCTTTTCTCACCTCCAGCCACCAGCTTTTGGATACTACACTCTGTGGGGGCTGACAGAGTTTTGATTAGGCATGTGGGTGGAACACACTCTGGACTGTGGGGATTGATGTATTTGTTAGGCACATGGCTTCTTCATTTCTATCCACATTGAAGTTTCTTGTTCGTTTTTTAGTCACAGATCAACATGGCCTGTTGTGAAGATACGCTTGTCTTTGTTTAATGTTCAAGAATGGGGTTGTGCAGAAATGCCAATCATGTGGTGGATTGAGAGACTATTCTGTGGGTGAGGTAGGAGAGGAAGAGGAGCAGTATGTTTATGGAAGCTTATCTTTGCTTGCTGAGATTTCCAAACCAAAATTTTGGTGATCTTGTAGTTTTCATGTTTGATTATTTCTTCTATTACAATTTTCTGGAGACCTGTGTTGTTGTGACGCAGATCTGCCGGTGGAAGTAGAACTGAGCTAGTGATTGTATGTGAAAAATCAAGTTTCAGTTGAGTAATGGATCCAGAGGTTGGAAGAATTCCGGTCTCTTTGAAGGTTTGGTGGCCTTTCCACTTCATTAATCTATATTTACTCTCTTATTCCTCCTTTCTTGCAAGTGGGGTAGTTCTTCAATAGATTCCTTCTCCTATTACGATTTAGATTGGACTTTTTTATTTCTTTTCATTTTTCTTCATTCAAGCTCTGATTGTTTTGCTGATAGATTTAGTTGGTTTGCAGAAAGATTCTTGGAAGACCATCTTGCTTTTAGCATTCCAGAGCTTAGGTGTTGTTTATGGAGACTTGAGTATATCTCCTCTATATGTCTTCAAAAGTACATTTGCAGAAGATATTCAACATTCAGAAACGAACGAAGAGATTTTTGGTGCGCTTTCGTTTGTGTTCTGGACTCTGACGCTTGTCCCCCTCTTCAAGTATGTCTTCATAGTTCTGAGAGCTGATGACAATGGCGAGGGTATGCCTGCCGGTGTTACAATCTCTTTTCTGAAGTGATGAGATGGAGCTGTTTTTACTATCCGGTTGTTTATTTCGCAGGGGGTACTTTTGCTTTGTACTCTTTGATATGTCGGCATGCCAATGTAAGCCTTCTGCCCAACAGACAGGTTGCAGATGAAGAGCTCTCTACTTACAAATATGAATGCCCTCCGGAAATTACCAACAGGTCAAGGATCAAGGTTTGGCTCGAGAAGCACAAGAACCTGCATGTTGCTCTGTTGATAGTGGTAATGCTTGGTACCTGTATGGTAATTGGAGATGGAATCCTCACCCCAGCAATATCAGGTGACTTTGTCAACACTGTGTGTTACTGTAATCAGGGAAGTCATGCTAATGTTATCTTTTCCTCTCCAGTGTTTTCTGCAGTTTCAGGGCTTGAGTTGTCCATGTCTAAGGAGCACCATGAATGTAAGCTAACCAGCCACATCATGAATGATATTTTGGTTTCAGTCGAGTGGTTTGCTAGAGTTGATTCTTATTTCATGAACTTTTTTGCTGGATGGGAAAGACACATGCTCTCTTTTCAATATTTGAACTTTCATTATGGCGCAATCTACCAGTACAATATTTTGGAATAATCACCATATCTATATATGCAGATCATCTTTTTGAACTTTTTGAAAACTCCATTTGTGGCACACGTCAGCTATTACTAGTTTCTGATGTTGAACTCCTCTGGTCAAGAATGTGCTGCATAAACCCTAACATATTTAAGGCTGAAATTACTCTAGAGTACAAAGTAAAAGCCACTTGTTTCTAAGCCGATTCTGTCTTGTTAGTTGTTTTGGCCACAGTTCCCCTCTCTTAAGGAGATACAGAAGTTTAGGAAGTAAACATCCTTTCAATTCTCCTTCATTCTTTTCCCAATCAGGTTTTATATAGTAATTGCAGGCCAGGTTATGTAATCATAGTGTTTTTTGGTAATTATAGTCATCTGAGTGTAATATTCTGATAGGTGGTCATCTGATGGTAGCAATATGTCCACAATGCCAAGTAGATCGGTAGTCACAACAATGCAGCACTATAATATTTTCAAATCCATGACTGGTTTTACTTGTTTATTCTGTGTGGAGCTAGCAGTAGAGAAGATATCAAGACACGCATAACCTTGTATTTTACAAATAGATTCTATATGAAGAAACTAAATTGCTCCAAGAATGTTATTTTTAATTGTAAGTTTTTTGAACCTACAACCGTTGCTACTTGCTTATATTGTATGGAGGCAGCAATAGAAGATGTCAATACACGCATAACCTTAAAATATAAAGCATATATGGTTAATTCTGCACGAAGATACTAACTTGATCTGAGAATGTTGTTCTATTGTTAGTGAAATAATGAATGATTCTTTTTATGTTGTCCTCTTGATAAATCAGTTTCTAAGTAGCATGAATGAGGGCAATGTCTGGCAACAAACTAGAAGTTTGTTGACATCTGGAGCAATCTAAAGAGAAAAAATTATACCTAAAATCATTTAGTACTTGTGCATATTGTTTGAGTTAGTCATCGTATATATTTTACATCAGTATCTGATCTGATGTGTGCTCCTTGTATGTGCAGATGCCGTGGTTCCGATAACATGCTTCATTTTAGTATGCTTATTTGCTCTGCAACACTATGGTACTCATCGAGTTGGAATTCTATTCGCACCAGTTGTTCTGACCTGGCTATTGTGCATCAGTGGACTTGGGATATACAATATTGTTCACTGGAACCCACATGTCTATCAGGCACTTTCTCCATATTACATGTTTAAGTTCTTGAAAAAGACTAAGAAGGGTGGCTGGATGTCCTTGGGTGGAATTTTACTATGCATAACAGGTAACTTTTAAAATAGTAGCTTTTTCCATTAATAACCTGCTTAGAATGCTTTAGGATTTATTTGACATATTTTATTTGGGAAGCATTAGGATTTAGGAGTATGTTTAACTTGTGAAACGAAAAATGGTAAAGATGAAAAATATTCAAATGGAGTAGCCCAGCATCAATAGATAAGCAAACAAAATAATTGGATAGAAACTCATGAAAAATCTTAAAAGCTTGAGGTTTCTTATTAATTTCTATCAAGATCAGCAGAACCCAGATCACCTAACCTGCCATAAAATTTTATAAACATCGACTTAAGATTATTACTGACTTGCTGCAAAACCTACAATAACAGGATCAGAGGCAATGTTTGCAGATCTTGGCCACTTCTCATACACTGCAATTCAGGTTCCATTTCTCTGGCAATTTACTTGGTTGATGTTTTCTTCATCTCTCAACTGGCCACTGATCTCTCTTGTATATGCCTATCATAGATGGCCTTCACTTTCGTAGTTTATCCCTCTCTCATTTTGGCATACATGGGTCAGGCTGCTTACTTATCAAAGCATCATGGAATCTATACGAGTTACCAGATTGGCTTTTATGCCTCAGTTCCAGGTATATACTTTTAACCTTTGCTTGAGGGCTTGTCACATGTATAGCTTAACAAAAGAGATGTGGAGCTGTGAACTATTGTGAGGACAAATTTCTATTTAATTGAACATCATTTGTTTATGCCTACAAAGTAGCATTGTGTTCGTTGCATGTCGATATTTAACTGAGAAGTCATACTGTGGTAACTTCCAGTAGGTGTTTAGTCAGATGCTAGATTCACTTGATCTCTTAGAGTGAGGTACTGCACCGTGATAGAAGTGTTTGACTGATGTGTATTATGGTTGTGAAGTCATTGTCAGTTGAGGACAAGTAATATTAAAGGAAGGATAAGCCAAGAGATCAGATAAAGACAGTTGAGACTTCTGTGATGTCACCTAGTGCTCGTAGCATAGCATTTAACATGATGGTTTGGGATTGATTTTCTAAGGTTTACTTTGATTTTGGAAAAATATGCTGTCAATTTGACCTTCATGTTTCTTGTCATTATATGGCTTCGTTGTCAATTTGATGTACGGCATTTCTAATTGCATGGAAAACCCAGATTTTGCTTAGCGATTTGACAATTGATTTTGTAGAATGCTTAAGGTGGCCTGTACTTGGGATAGCAATACTAGCTTCGGTTGTGGGGAGCCAAGCAATTATCAGTGGAACATTTTCTATCATTAATCAGAGTCAATCGCTAGGGTGCTTTCCAAGAGTCAAAGTGGTTCACACCTCTGACAAAATTCATGGGCAGATCTACATACCAGAGATTAATTGGATGCTCATGATCCTCTGCATTGCTGTTGCTGTTGGATTTAGAGACATAAAGCACATGGGAAATGCTTCTGGTATGCTCAACTAGTTAAAATTTTCATGCCTTTTGTTCACCATATCTCACTTAAAGTCACACTTTTTCCAAGAGTTTCTTTGCTCTTGACCTGAAGCGTCGTATTTAGTTTCTAAATGCCTGCCTACATCGAATTTACTTTCTAAGAGTCGACTACTGGAACAAATATTGCTTGAGACCCCTATCTCCTTGTTATCTTGCATTCCAACCATGTACTTTGTGTAGTCATCAACTGAAGGGCTATGTATATGAAATCCCTTTTCATGTGCTTCTATTAAAGCAGATTCTTTAACCTTGTGACATTATAGATGAGTTGTCTTCATATTTTAGAAAGCGATGACCTGATAATTGCAATTTTGCATGTCTTTTATGCTCTTTCAACCATATGGTTCGTAAATTTAACTGACTCCGCACATCATGCTATACAATTATGCCAGATCTCTGCCATTGTGACTGATGTTTCTGTTTGCACATAATGCAGGACTAGCAGTGATCACTGTTATGCTGGTGACCACATGCCTCACTTCCCTAGTTATGATCCTTTGCTGGCACAAGTCTCCATTCTTGGCCCTTGCATTTCTCCTCTTTTTTGGCTCCATTGAGGTCCTCTACTTCTCTGCGTCGCTGATCAAATTCCTTGAGGGTGCCTGGCTTCCCATCCTACTTGCTCTCTTTCTCATGATTGTCATGTTTGTCTGGCATTACGCCACAATTAAGAAATATGAGTTTGACCTACATAACAAGGTCTCTTTGGACTGGCTCCTGGCCCTTGGTGACAAACTTGGCATCGTCCGTGTTCCTGGCATTGGCCTTGTTTTCACCGATATCATCTCCGGTGTGCCTGCTAACTTCTCCCGATTTGTCACCAACCTCCCAGCATTCCATCGCATCCTGGTCTTTGTTTGCGTCAAATCTGTTCCTGTTCCATTCGTGCCTCCTTCTGAGAGATACCTTGTCGGACGTGTTGGACCGCCCTATCATCGTTCTTACAGATGCATTGTTCGGTATGGGTACCGTGATGTCCATCAGGATGTCGACTCTTTTGAATCTGAGCTGATTGCAAGTTTAGCTGACTTCATACAACTTGAAGCATCTTTCAGCGGACAAAGGTCTAGTGAGCTGATGGATGGTTACGAAGATGGACTTACTGTCATCGGAAGAAGTCTGCTTACGTGCGGTCGCAATTATAATACCGTGAGCAGCACTCCAGGGGGGACGATGACCGGCGAGCTGGCTTCTGAAGAAAACGCAATTGAGTTGGCACCTGCCAGTGCAGGAAAGAAGGTTAGGTTCTTTCTGGAGGAGAACAGTCACCCGGCACTTTCTGAGCCTGCGAGGGAAGAGCTCAATGATCTACTGGCGGCACAGGAGTCTGGATGCGCGTTTGTGTTGGGACATTCTCATGTGCAAGCGAGTCAAGGGTCATCGATCATGAAGAAGTTGGCGATCGACGTCGCGTACAACTTCTTAAGGAGAAACTGCCGAGGACCAGACGTGGCACTGCGTGTGCCTCCTGCATCCCTCCTCGAGGTCGGCATGGTCTATGTCTTGTGAATGTAAGCATGCTCTTACAAGCCATGTCGTGCTCCTTTGCAGAAACTGTGTCATGCAGCTGTTTGAAGGAATGTGCGTGCTGTGACCTGTCATGCAGCTTTGAAGGAATGTTTGCAGAAACTTGTCTTAGGAGACAAGTTAGCATGTACTGTTGTTTGTGATAGGTACTGCTTTCCAGCTTATGGACAAAGTATGTGTATATATACAACTAATTGCAGTGCATGTAAATTCTTGATTCAAACTCACCAATAGTTAGGGTTGGTTTTCAGTTCCTGTGACCTTGTCAGCTTTGCTTCCTTCCTTCCTTCTTGTTGACGTGGCTTTGAAGCACAACTGTTGCAATTTACACTCATTGGTGGGACCCATATATAGCTGGTTATTGCAATTTAGACCATGGTATTTATTCATCATCATGCATTAGGAGGAACCCACACATATTTCGGATTCAGTGTGTCTTTACCAATCAATTGCATGAATCGTTCTGTACTATTCTTCTTCTTTTTGTTTCAAAGAAAGAAGAAATTTCTTGTTAATACGAATGAATCACTCTTTACTGATTGATAGGGCATATACTAGCGACACATACCCTCAGGTAGTGACCCGCAACCACATCATCATCAGGCGGCCTGTGGAGCCGAGGTTGCGAACTGCGTAAGCGCAATAAGTCGGATTCAGATCGATGTCGTGCGTGGTACGTTGAGTGGTATGATGCTATCCCAGAAAATCCGAGCCGCTTAGCATCGACCCGTAAGATGCCGTCTTAGAAAGTTCGGGAAGACACCGCAAGGTACGTGGCCCCTCGGAAAGCGCCCACATGGGAAGTATGGGTCTGTCGCCCTAGCGGTTGGCAATCATTAATCAATCGAGTATGATCGATTTCGGACACAGGTATAAAAACTCACCCCTAATTGACGCAAAGGGGAGAGAGAAAAACTCAGAGAAAGAAGGCTAACTTAATTTTTGGATGGGTTGGATCGAGAAATCTTCTGATCCCAATCTGCGTGCAGGGATTCGATGATCACGTGACGAGGCGTCGGATACGAGAAGACCGACGTTCACCTCTGCTGCCCAAGTGTCAGACTATACGATCTTGGAAGATCGACACCCACCTCTGCTGCCCAAGTGCTAGACCAGACGACCTTGAAAGACCGACGCCCACCTATGCTACCCGAGCATCAGACAGAATGACCTTACAAACCCGGAATTGAACTTAGCCCGGCCACGACGTAAAAAGACACCGATGCTGATCAAATATGATAAAAAAGAAAAAAATCATAATGTAGTGTGCTTCTATTATGGTTGGAAGTTGAATTAGTATTAGGATTAGTACAAATCTCGACGCATCTCATGTGCCTCTTCTTTTATTGGTGGTGTGACGCACACTACTGTTATGGTGTACGATATGTTTTCGGTTGCTTGGTCATGGCATAGTGGCATTTCGTCTTTCCACTCTACGCGGTTCCACTGCTTCCAGTTGTCTATGGAATCGTTGGTGACCCAACAACGATTCCACTGGGGATAGCCACAAATGACTAGAGGAACAGACACGCACACTGATTCCAAAGGGAACGAGCTATCACGTCTCCACGTCGCTAGTAACATGAACTTGGTGGGAAATGGTTGCTTGTGTTCTACGTTGCATGGGACCCACATGACCGCAATCGTAGTTGTATTCGTGGTAATTAGAAGACACCAATACGCTCGCATGGTATTTGATGTCATCATCATCACATTTCTTTTGGGGTAATTATTGCACAGTTAATTAATGTGATGATGTATCTCCCTTTGTCAACAGTCTCTTCCACAAAATTATTGGGTGATTTTTCTGAAAAAAACATCCTTATTCTTTTTTTTTCTCCCATATATGGCGTTTTCTGTTTTATTTTTTATATAGGATCTATGTTTATTAATAAGGATAATATATATATATATATATATATATGGAATTTTGATTTAAAGAAAAGCCAGTTTAAATCCGTTCGAGCTAAAACGGAAGAGGCGTGAGATTTCGAGGGGCGGAGCCGCCGGCGCGCTCGACGAGGCTCGACCGTCACGGCACACTTGGCGCGAGTAGGAGAAAGGATCATGGAATGTTGGACGCTATATGCTCTGGCACCTTCCGCGAGTAGGACCCGCGGAGGGCGTCACCGTGTAGGAACGTTACCCGAGAGGGGACTGTGGTGGTGGGCTCCGCCTTGTCTGGTCTGCTTTCGTTGCACTCGTTTGTGATAGAGGCGGGTGGGCTTCGGCGACTGGGAACAAGCATCGAACAGGTGGTGGACCACCGGACGCCACTAGTTTTCGCGGGGGAACGGCACCCAGTTTCGATCCCATTGGGCTCCTCACTCCGCTGGGTGGTGACTGCAAAGCTATCCGATCGCTTTCTTTCCCCTCTGTTTCGCCACCGCAGGCGAAGGCCTCCTTGTGGTCCGCCATCCCACGCCATTCGATGCACTAGTGGTTGTCGGCGGCCACGGGAGAGACACCGGCGCCCTAGGCTCGCGCCGCACATAGCCGCCGTGGCTTCTTTCCCGGGCTCGCATCGGTGGAAAGCATGAGTTAACACCGGAGTAGAAGAAGATGAAGAGAAGTGCGGCGACGACTGTGGAGAGAGACCGATGTTTCCGACCCTTCCTCGAGCGAATAAACAAACTCTTCCCGCTCAAAGATCAATAGAGAAAATAGATCTCGAGATGTCATAAACATTCAAATAAAAAAGTTAATCATCTTCCATTAAGGAACTAAAAATACTTATCGATACTAACACCCACGTGGACGGGCGGGTGAAGCCCAACTAATTACGTAGGTGGAATTCGTGCTTTAGAAGATAAGCACAGCTGTTCCCTCCTAATCGATGATTGCTTCACTCCAAAACCCCTTGTAGCGCACTTCACTGTAATTATTTCTATGTTTGTGTCCTCTTAATGACAGCACGTATTTATGAATTGTGTTGTGTGTTTGATGATTTGGATAATTAAGGATTATAAAAACTATATAATTTTTCGTCTACATATATATATATATATATATATATATATATATATAATTCAGTTGTGTACATATGAATCCCAAGATTTGAGCTTCCACAGCCACCCACCCCACGCCTTCCCTTTTTCTGCTTTTGGTGCCGATTTGGCAGCGAAGATAGATTACGAAGATACCTGCGAGGGAAGCATGGCGGAGTCCAGCGGTGGGGCAACGCCGGCGAAGGTCATTTTCGGCAAGTACGAGCTGGGCCGTGTCCTGGGCCGAGGCGCCTCCGCCAAAGTCTACTACGCGCGCGACATCGCCTACGGCCGCAGCGTGGCCATCAAGGTCTTCCCGAAACCCAGCCGGCCCTCCAGCTCCGGTTCCGCCTCCTCCTCCTCCTCTGACTCCTTCATCCGCGAGATCTCCGCCCTCCGCCTCCTCCGCCACCCGCACATCGTCCGCCTCCACGAGGTGCTCGCCTCCCGCTCCAGTGTGTACCTCGTCCTCGAGCTCGCCAAGGGCGGCGAGCTCATCTCCCGCGTCCACGACCGGGGCCGCCTCCCGGACGACCTCTCCCGCCGGCTGTTCCACCAGCTCCTCTCCGCCGTCGCCTACTCCCACTCCCGCGGCGTCTTCCACCGGGACCTCAAGCCCGAGAACCTCCTCCTTGACGACGCTGGGGACCTCAAGGTCTCCGACTTCGGATTCTCCGCCGTCTCTTCCTTCTCCGAAGATTACCTCCTCCACACCCAATGCGGGACGCCGGGGTACGTGGCCCCGGAGATCCTCCTATCGAGGAAAGGGACGACGGGGTACGACGGAGCCAAGGCGGACATCTGGTCGTGCGGCGTCATCCTCTTCGTGCTCAACGCCGGCTACCTCCCCTTCAACGACCGCAACCTCGTGTCGCTCTACCGCAAGATCCACCGCGGTCACCACCGCTGCCCCCGCTGGACCCCGCCCGACCTCCGCCGCCTCATCTCCCGCCTCCTCGACCCCAACCCCGCCACCCGCATCTCCGTCGACGGCATCCTCCGCGACCCCTGGTTCGCCCGGGGCGTCGACCCCGAGCAGTTGGCGACCATGATGCGACCCCAGGGAAGCGACGCCGGCCTCGATGACAAGCCCCACCGCCGCCGCGGCGGAGAGCTCAACGCCTTCGACCTCATATCCTTCGCATCCGGGCTCGACCTCTCCGGCCTCTTCGTGGACGCGGCCTGGGACCGGGAACGGTTCGCGTCGGTCGAGCCGGTGGACCGGATCCTGGACCGGGTCGAGGAGGTGGGAAGGGAGGCAGGGTTGGTGGTGAGGAGGGAGGGCGAGAAGGGCTCGGCCGCAGTGATCGAGGGACACAAGGGGGAGTTCGTCCTGACGTTACAAGTTCACCGGTTGACCGGTGGCACGGCGGTGGTAGAGGTGGAGGTGGGCAGTGGAGCGTACGGAAGCTTCTGGAACGAGAAGCTGAGGCCCATGCTGAGTGGGCCACTTCGCGTCGGCGGATTGGGCTGATGCTCTTAATTATAATTTGCTATAAACACATAAGTAATTCTTAATATAAATAATTCATGGTCAATTAATATATAAATAGATACACATATTTATATTAAGCAATATATTGTGTTTTCTCGACAAATTCCCTCTCACTACAAACAATACAACACAAATCAAATCAATTCAGAATAAAAAGTACATTTAATTCGATGATGACCCAAAATCCAACGATGAATTATCAAAGAGATCATCCACTGGTCACAGGACCACAAATCCATATGTAAAAGCGACAGGGCTTCCTTGGAGAACGCAACGAGTGACATGAATGAAGCCATAAACTTTCCATGAACAGAAGAATCTGACGATCCAAGTGCTCGATGATTGCAATCGGTCCAAAGTGAAGGGGGGTGGTACTATTCCTGGTCGGTGGTCTGTCGACACCGATCGTGGCTAAAAGACGAGCCACTTTTGGCGTCATGGTGATCGCCGGAAAGTTATCATTGCTTGGAGAAGCAGCTCTCTCTACAGCACTTACTTGGAATATTTCATGCTTGTGTGGTCGTTACTGTTCGTGATGAATGCGTTGGAATCGCTTCTGCAAGTGACTCATGGGGACATGAGGAGCCATGAGATGTCCACACGCAACTGTCTTAGCAGATGTGATGCGATCACCCACCATTGGCTCATTGGTTATTGTCGGATTGTTGCATGCCAGACTCGGATCGGGTCGGGATCCGATTCATTTGTTAAGGGACCTGTCCTTCTCTTCCCATCGGGGAAGCAGAAGAAGCGGGTGGAGCCACTGCAAGCTCTCCTCTCCTTCCTCGCGATGGCGACGGAGCTTTGGGACGATAATTACCTCGGGAATAGGCGATTTGATATGGAGGAAGGTAAAATTTTCTTCGCCATTTTGCGGATTTTCCTACGGTTTTGCAGATTTCATTGGATTTGTTCCTTTTCTTGGTGTCGCTGTCGGTCATTAGGGCTTTATCGTGATGGGGTCTTGCTCGATATGGGTGATTGTGTTGAATTCTACGCGAAGTAGAACGCGGAGGCGGGGACGTTTGCTTCGATGAGGGCAAGATTTTGAGGTATCATCACATTTTGCCTCTAAATTTCCGAGTGTCTGATCTTGACGTAAACGTTCCTTCTCGTCTCTCTGGTGTTGATTTCCTCCCGGTGGCAGTGATTGCTAGTAGCAAGAACAAAACGAAGCCCCAAGAGGTGATTCCTCGCTGGTTCGGCCTGAAACATTAGCTAATGCAACCCTAGAAATCTGAACGATTCAGATGCCGAACCGGACCATTCAAAGAATTAGAAAGTAAAATAGAAGTCTTACAATGAATGGCCTGACATATAGTCGATTATTTAGCTGCCAGGCATCGGAATGCTAATAATCATCACACCGATCCTTTGCAAAACCTAAATCTTTGGTATAGATCCAAACCTGGTTCATGGACTGACCACTCCCGGATATAACCCATTGCTCGAGTGAAAATTCTGATTTCATCCACATAAACCATCGGATAGATTTCAGCTACCTTCATGCCATAGAGACCAATGTCAGGAATATCTTAGAATGAGATCACAACTCTAATAGTGGCGCCGGTGTAGTGCCCCACGTCATGTAATGGTTTTAGTCTTATTTTGTGTGATCGTATTGCTTTCAGATGATTTATTTTGGTGAATCATTGAGCTATCATTTATTGTTAAAAATCATGCCATATTGTGAATGCCTATTTGACTCATTAAATTAGCATGTATCACCTTCTTTTATCGAGATATCATATTCATGATATTTTCTTATGATTCTATACATCACATATAGTCATGATCATGAAAAATGAGAACAAAATCTTAAAAAGAATGTATTCTAACTGAATTAATTACATGTATTGGATGAACTAACACTGCTAATGTTATGATATGAGTGCTGCATTTATCCAAGAGAAAACCTTTATGGATCCCGTATCTGATTTGGCGACTCTTTCCTTTTACAAGAGTCTGGACATAATCTAACATGCTGAATGAGTATTCGGATAGTTTCTGGAGGTATAGAATCATACTTGGTGTCTTGAAAGGTTTTTACAGAGAGGAGTAGATGTGGCAGAGCCTTCAGGAAAAAAACATGCTTAACATGCTTCTGCATTAGAATCGGATGTTGCATATGCTAATGCCTGGCTAACTCTTCTATGCTTGGAAGGTTTTATGGAACTATTGGTACATGGCTTCCGTCGGCTTAGATCTTATTGTAGTTTGTGAAGTTGTGAACATATGCCAGAAATTGATAACGTAATTGCCATCGTAGTTTGCAAGAATACTTGTTTAGATCTCTTACTTATGCTATCGTAGAATGTCATAAAAAATGTAATTGCTAGAACTTGATTTCTTGTGCGTCTAGAGCAAAAAGTGGATCTCCTTGTGCGTTTCTTTGTGCACATAGTATAGTGGCAGCATGAGCTACTTCAATTCTTCAGCTTAGTTGCAAGTTGTGTTATGTTTTGCTCGAACTATTTTGTTCTTGCTAATGTCTAGTTTACATTTATTAGCTCCACCATTGTTCTTGCTAATGTTTGGATTTCTTTTTTGGATTCGAATTTATTTTCTTCTTCGGGTTTTGGAACTTGCTCTGTTGCTCAGGTTATGACATTTTTAAAGAGTTTCATCTAGAAAAATTGATCTGTGATTCTTGATATCAGTGAAATGTCCTTGAACAAGACACTAGTAAAGAGAAAATAGCTAGCTAACTTGCAGTTTTTCTTATTCATAATCTCTTGCTAAAAGATTTCAGTATTAGAATATGACCGATTATTTTGAGAAGTCTCTGGTGTGTCGTGAGAATTCCGTGAGGTCTTCTTCATCCTTTTTCTTGCCTTGGATCTTTATTCTCTTTATATGTTGGGGTTATACGCATTGTGTCATGCGATGATGCCGGACGTCTGAGTGTTACGTCTGGAGCGCACTCGCACATGGACCTGCAAGATTACCAGCTGATTTAAAGCAAATAAGTGCGACATTTGAAGCTGTAGGAAAGAGTCGAGCTGCAAATATTATAACCTTGGGGAGGAATGTTACTGCGGGGTTGGACGGAGACCCAGCCATCGGTCTCGATAGGTGTAGATGATGGCGATGGTTGCAGGCGTCTTTCAAGAATGACCTCAACTTCAGGATATTACTAGTCAAAAGTTGAGGCGGAATCGAAGTAGGAGACCCTCTGGTTCTGTTCACTCTTCCATGAACTGCAAGGGACTTAATTCTTGGTTGAAGAGCCACGGAGACGCACTTGGCGTCGTTCGCGAGAACGATGCCATCTAAGCCGTGCGACCACCTCTTGTGATATCCGCAACGGGGTCGCGGTTCCGTGGAAGCGTCTAAACATCAGAATCAAACAGAACATGGTAGAACGAACATACTTTTCCTACTCGGTCACGGCTTACACGTGTCGCACGGTGGGTTTTGTCTTTTTCTTTCATTATTTCCCCTTGGGGAATGTAGGGAGATAACGATGGTCTTCCGGCTCGTCGCTGTCACGAAGGCATATCCTTGCCTTGGGAAGCAAGGAACCCTGTTTTCTCGGAAAGGATCTCTAGAAAATTTTCCTTTTCGCACGGCACCAAACATGACGAACTATATTACTGAGATATTAGACAAAGTGCCATTTAACATTAATATTACTGTTAAATACTATTTTACTGGGCTAATTTTATCTATGTATTTAAAATTTATGGCATTTAATATGGTTAAATAGCAATTAAAATAAATTTAAAGAAATAATAAAACATATTATTGGGAATATGTACAATAATAATCACAGGCCTCGTCATCTCTTCGGGAAGCCTCTGCAGTGCCTCCTCTTCTCCTTCTCGGGACACCCCGACTCTCATCCGGTCGGTCAAACTCATCAACTTTGACCAGGCGCCTACCCCTTTTTGCTTCTCTTCTGGGAAGCTACCCGACTCTCTTTGTCTCTCTCTCATGCCCCATCCCGTACGTGTTTGTGCACGCGTGACTCTCGCTCTGTTTATCCATGCATGCGTAATATGCCATTTGCTATTCCCCCACTTGTTTTCTCCTTGTTACGTCTCTCCTGGTCCTCTCCCCAATGTCTTCTTCCACAAGCAGCAGCAGCATGGAGACCTCAGCCATTCTGCAACCGCCAGCCTTCGCCTTCTCCGAACTCCTTGCAGGAGCTGGCGGCGTCGACGGCGATGGCGGCAGGGACTTCCCGGCCTTTGCTGGAGATTCCGTACCCAACTTCAAGTCTGCACCTCCTCCTCCTTCGCTGGCCATCTCCCGCCCTCCCTTATCGCCTTCGTCTTGGTTCGCCATCCCGGCCGGCCTCAGCCCTGCTTTGCTCTTGGACTCTCCGGTGCTATTCTCCTCATCCAACGTAAGAATCAGTAACTCGAGTCTTTGGCACGGTCCAACCAATCCACTTCGCTTTTATCTGTAGTCGTGCACCTCTTCCAACAAGTTCTTCTGATTTCTTTCGTTGCTGTTGTTTATCTGCCGCCCGGTAGCTCGAGTAATACTATATTTCATGTTGTTCTTTCAATTGATTTGATGTCATCTACCAGACGGACTCATGCTGCCTCTTTTGGTCATCATCTGTAAGAGGTTGAAAAACAAATGGCCATCTACTTAATTCCTTGTTTTTTTCCTTTCTTGTTAGCTGTACTAATTCATTTAGTAAGATGTAGGCTCCATACTCGGTACATGCAAATCTTGTCCCTGCAACTCATATGTTATCGAACAGATATTGCCATCTCCAACTACTGGGACTTTACAAGCTCTGAATCGGGGAATCTCCTCTGCTGATCATCGACAAGGGAACAAAGATGAAACCATTGCCTGCTCCGACATCTCATACCAAACCAACACAGAACCCCAAAACTTTGAGACAGCATCATTTCAGACTTGTGGGTCTGCAATCGCTGTGGTACTTAATGTTCCCGAGAATTAATTTCCTGATCTAAGTTAAATTCTATACATGGATTTAAGCTAATGTCGTTTGGATTATGTTTGATTCAGGAAGGCGCCTTCAAAACCCACAGACGGTGCAATTATCATCACGAGACCAGCAACAACATCAAAGTCGAAGCTGTAGCTCCAACTTTTCAGTCCGAGTTGCGAGCCCACCATGGCCAAACCGATCACGATCGATCCAGTCAAGCTCCTCTTACCCTCGAAGAACAGAGGAAGTTCGATGATGGATGCCATTGGAGAAAGTACGGTGAGAAACAGGTCAAAGGAAGCGATAACCCACGGAGCTATTACAAGTGCACGTACCCGAGTTGTCCGAGAAAGAAGCAGGTGGAGAGGTCCTCGGACGGACAGATCACCGAGATCGTTTACAAGGGTACTCATAGCCACTCAAAGCCGCAGTCCACCACAAGGCATTCGGCCGCCGTTCAAGCGATTCACGATGCTGCGCCTCCTGAAGCATCCGAAGCTTCTTTCGGCGGGCCGGATAATTCATCGGCGTCTTTTGGTGACAGTATCATCGATTTGAGCTCTCGGAGGAGCAATCGGGGAGGTGAAGCCTTGGACGAAACCGAACCAGATGCCAAGCGATGGTATGCATGTGCTGTATCCGATCGTTTCCTGTCGAGTAATCATGATAATGAACCGTATGACTGGCTAATCTTTCAGGAAGACAGAAGGTGACCATGAAGAGCTATCAGCTCCCGGAAATAGGGCTACGAGGGAGCCGAGAGTGGTTGTGCAGACACAGAGCGATGTCGATATCCTCGACGACGGGTACCGTTGGAGAAAGTATGGGCAGAAGGTGGTGAAGGGTAATCCAAACCCGAGGTGAGCTGCTATTACGCTTTCACCCATCGTCCAACATCGAGCTTCCCTTCCATGACTCTCTGTGTTTCGACCCACAGGAGTTATTACAAATGCACTACGATGGGCTGCCCCGTGAGGAAACATGTGGAGAGGGCATCGCAAGATCCCAGTTCAGTGATCACGACGTATGAAGGCAAGCACAACCATGATGTTCCTGCAGCCAGAGGAAGCGGGGCGCACTTACAGAGCAGGCCTCAGCCGGAGGATTATGGCACCGCCACAGCAGTGCGTCCATCGTTCATGGCCGGTCACGCCAGTCAAATTGCTGCATACGATGCCTTTGGTGCCTCGGGGGTTTACGTCTCAGGTTACCGGAGTTCGGTGAGCTCGTACACCTGTCAACAGCAGCAGCAACAGCAAATGGGGAGGAAGTTTTAGGCAGCGGAGCTTTTGTGTTCCTCCAGGTTTGGTTGTAAGCTACCGGTGATACTGAAGCTTAAGTTCCGGTCTCGTGCGTGTGTTTCAGGACTGCTTGCACGGCGGAGTAAGCTGCGACGCGTTTCTCCGGTCGATCGACGTTCTCCCACCGGGGAAACGCGAACGAGGGCGGCGCCGGGGCCCGCTTCCTGGGCCCAGCGCGTAAACGGGTCCCGCGAAAGCGGTGAACGCGACTTTGGATACGTCTCCCTTGTTGAATGACACCTGCCACGGAAACACCCCTCCTGGTGCACCTAATTTCCCAAATGCCATTACCTCGGATGCGTTCGAACCACGCGGATAAGTCATCGATATCTTCGCCCCTTACCCGTCTAACAGTCGCGATTCTTTGATGTTTCTTTCTACCCTTCGTTCCGCCCATTGGTGTCACCCAAACCACATCGGTTCGCATGCACCGTCGTAGGGCCAATTGGGGAAATTGATCCGATCAAGAAATCGCCGGGTGGAAGATTTTGCGACTCCTTTTAAGGTTCCTCTCCGCCGCCCGTGAAAGCGAACGGGGAAGTTGATCGGATAAAGAAATCGCCGGTTGGAAGATCGTGCGGCTGTGTTTTAGGTTCCGCTCCGCCGCCGTGGAGAGAAGCAAGAAAAGCGAGGAGCCGGGAGGCTTAGAGCGCAACGATGATGGGAGAAGGAAGCGTATGAGAGGAAGGGATCCGAAAACCGCTCATGGATCACCCCTTTGCCCCTTCCCCACCCGTCTGCTTCCGCTCGTCGACCTCTCGTCGTCGTCTCATCGGCGCCAACCACACCTCCGCCCGCTTCTGTTCCCGTTGACGCCGCCCCTCCTCCTCCTGCTCCCGTTAGATCTGTTTTAGTTCTAGAGTTAGGGCTTGTGTTTCGATTCTTTGTTCTCCTTTTTACAGGTGTAGGTAGGTATACAGGGATTCTTTGATCTGTTCTTTCCGGCGATGGATCCGGCGGCGAAGCCGATCTCGGTGCGAAATCTCCTCGTCCGGGCTCTCCTCTTCTTCCTCTCCGTATTTCTCCTCCGGTTCGTCTACGTCGTCACCGTCCACGGCGGCACCTGCGCCGCCGGCGACTTCTGCCTCTTCTCCTCGCCGGCGGAGCCCGTCGCCGTCGCTGGAACCGGCGCCGGCTCCGCCTCGGCGGCCGTGGCCTCCGTCCATGCCGGCCTCGGATCGGCCGCCACCCCCGCACTACGCGCCCTCTGGACCAGCCGGGAGTGGCGCAAGGCCGTCGAGTTCTACTCCTCCGTGTTCCAGAACCTCGTCGCAGAGGGCTTCCTCTCCCCGGCCTCCAAATCCCTCTGCGTGGACTCGCCCGCTGGCTATGAGGTCCTCGCCCTCAAGGAGATCGGCGTTGCTGACGCGGTCGGCGTGGCCAAGAAGAGCGCGCCGCCTCTGGTGGTCGGCGGCGCCGATTCGCTCCGACTGCCGTTCGGGAACGGGACCTTCGACTTCGTCTTCGCCGGCCGGAGCCTCGACCGTAGCAAACAACCTGCGAATCTCGCGGCAGAGATCGCAAGGACGCTGAAGCCACATTGGTTCCTGGTGGCGCTCACTGCATCCGCCCACGATGCCTACAGCCGTCACTCCCTCGCCGAGCTCTTCCCCGACTGCATAACTGTTCGATCACGGGTGATCCACAGCCCGGATTCAGCGAAGCCACTCTGGGAGATCGTATTCCAGAAGCAAGAAGGCACACAGACCGTTAGCCCAAACGGGAAGTCAGGCGGCGACTGTCCTATCCCGGAGCACAAGCTCGAGATTTTACGGTCGGCGGAGCCGCTGATCGAGGAGGAGCCCCTGAAGCCATGGATCACCCTGAAGAGGAACATCCAGAACGTCAAGTATTTGCCTTCCATTGCTGACATAAGCTTCAAGCCACGGTACATCTACATTGACGTCGGCGCACGGAGCTACGGGTCGAGCATCGGCAGCTGGTTCAGGAAACAGTACCCTAAGCAGAATCACACCTTCGAAGTCTTCGCGATCGAGGCTGACCGAGCGTTCCAGGACGAGTACGCAACCAAGAAGGCCGTCAAGTTGCTGCCTTTCGCGGCGTGGGTACGCAACGAGACTTTAACCTTCGAGATCAATCGTGACCCGGAAAACCATGATGATGTGGAGAAAGGGCGAGGGATGGGCCGAATCAGACCGGCGGGGGGTTCCGACGGCCGAGTTTCATCGGGCGAGGTGCACGCCATTCAGGGGTTCGACTTCGCCGCATGGCTGAAGAGGACGGTGACGGAGAGAGACTACGTCGTGATGAAGATGGATGTGGAGGGGACGGAGTTTGATCTGGTCCCGAGGCTCTTCGAGACGGGGGGGATCTGCTTGATCGACGAGCTGTTTCTGGAGTGCCACTACAACCGATGGCAGAAGTGCTGCCCGGGGCAGAGGAGTCCCAAGTATCAGAACACCTACGGTGAATGCTTGAAGCTGTTCACCAGGCTCAGGGACGGTGGTGTTCTGGTTCACCAGTGGTGGTAATCCGTAAACTCAATCCTCGTCACAAAACTATGCACAGTGAGTGCTGTTTTGCTCTGCTGGCATTACGGGAATTGCATCTATGCTTTTGTTGGTCTAAATAATAATTAGGAAATGAGTAGAGGTCATCAAATTCTTTGTGGGTTTAGTCCTATAGGTAGCTGTTTGCTTGCCTTATCGATCCATCATCATCCTAGCAGAATGACTCTTTTATCTATGCAGGTGCTGTGAGACCACCACAGTCGAATGAAGTAAGTAACCATCATCATCCTCGCAAAATTCCCTCCTTTGGTTGACCGAGATATTGTTGAATGCAGTAGTCGAGTCTACTAATGTGTCGTCAAAGGTGGTCATCATACAAGAGAGTGTTGGTCCTCTCGAGGAGTATGTGCGATGGCATAACGAGGAGATGTACAAAGAGTCGAGTGAAATGTGAAGCTTGTTTGGTTCGTTACATATATTTGGAGGTTCAGCCGAAGGTTGCTGGCTGTAGCAGCAGGACCCACCATGGCTCCACCACAGTTGAGTGGGTGGGTAGTCACGCGGGTACTCGCAGATGTGCCCCCGTGCTCATCCATCCTCGTGACTGTCCGCTTGTCCTATAAACCTCGAGCGATCGCGACACGCTGCACCGACCATCGTCGTCCTCTCCCTCGACGAACCTATCCTCCAATACTTTGCTCTCTCTCTCTCTCTCTCTCTCTCTCTCCTTATACGGATATCTGTGGGCGGTGAGTTTGATGTCGATTCTTGATGCGACATCTGGTTCTTTGCGTTGATTCTTTTCCGCTTGGCAATACGATGAGCGTCTTTCTTGGGCTTCGAGTTTGGCCGGACATCTCCGACGCTATTGGCTGGAAAGGTTTTCCATCTTTTTTTTCCTTTGGATTTTTGGTTCTTGAGAGCTGCCATCATATGCCATGTATTATACTAAAGGTTCCGTGGATCTTTCTTTCTTGGGAAGCGAATTAGAACGGATTCTGCGTTTCTCATCTGTCTTTCCGTCCTTGGTCTGTTCTTGGATTCGTCATTTGCGTCAGGGTTTGAAGGACTGTGCCGTCTTTTGTGCGGGAACCGACATGGGAACCACATTTGCTTGGTCCTTTGGATCAGGACGGAGCTGGAAAAAGAAGGGCAGACGGCAAAAGACACGGAGTCAAAAGGAGGAGCAATAGCTTTTTAACGGTGAGTCAATTCATTCACCGTGGTTTCGCCTTTATGCTAGTTAAGTAGGTGGTATCAACATGATTTCTGTTGTTCTGCAGCGGCCTCTCTCCATGGGGCGGTAGCTGCCGCTGTCTCGCATTCTACCCACCCACTTACTCTCTTTTTTTTTTTTGCCTATAATTTTCTATCCAAAATCTTCCTGGTAAAGAACATGGTTTTAGTTCTATCTATTTCTAAACATCCATAGTGCAGGCTAAAACTGACTCATTTTCGCTCTGGTCTCCCTGCTTTGCGCGCAACACTAAATCCTTTAGCCCGAATAATAAATATTTGGTTAATGTGTAAGGACGTCCTCCTAACCCTTCAAGTCCTTTGAAAAGAGAGCCTAATTTACCTCAAGGAGAAAAACGAGCCATCGGCCATATCCGAAAAGAAGAAACTTGCTTTAGAAATGCTAAAATTGTTTTTAAGTCCTTTTAACCCTCTACTGTATAAAGAGGAGGAGAAAGCTAACCTAAAATTTTCAAGAACACAAAAAAAAAGCGGCCAAGAACAGAACATAGTAGCAGCAGCAGCAGTAACTGCATTGACATCGTCAGTCATCGGATGGCTGGCTTCTTCACAAAGCGAAGCATCCTGCGTCAGTCACATGCACACACCATGTTGGTTAGTTAACACATTGTCGCTCGAGACAAAGGGACCGACAGAAAGAAGAAGAAGAACATAATCAAAATTTAGACGTGCTGTGTGCTCGGGGAAAAGGGCCAGACGGTGGGCAGCACTGTCACCCCCGCTCCCCCCTCCCCATCACCACTAAAACACAAAAAAAGATGCATAATAAATAGCCCTCCTAACCCTCTGACTACTTCCATCATTTTGGTCATTGCATCGAGCGCAACAGCTTCAACTTCGACTGGCATATTCGGAGTAAATGTGATAGCATCTTACGTTGTGCCCCCACTATTTTCCTACAAACGGTAGCACAACTCCAGGATTGTAGAGCTCCCAATATTCTGTCACCTACGTCGTCCGCACATGCATTTTGTTCCAGGCTTTGCAACACACAGCCTGGCCCACCCTCAGCATCTCCTCTATGTACATGGGACAGTAAAATATCCAGATCCTGATCCTCCGACCTGTTCATTTGATCTGCCACCCATCTCTCGATGTGTTGTATGGCATCAATTAAACACAGCACTGAACCACACACGGCCTGCATATCTGGGGAACTGAGATGATCCGTCATACCACTTCTCTTCTTTCTTCTTCCTGATGGAAGCATCCATCTTATACGTGACTGTATTACTAGGATATGCCAAGAAATGGGTTCCGTCACCAACTGTACCAAAATCGAAAGCTTGTCTCCGGGAGATGCCAATATAGGCTCCGCATGCATCAGTTGTTCAGCAACACAAGACTTAACCAAGTTATCGACAATTCTCCATGAACTCATACCACATTTATCTTCGTTGAGTAGCTTCACACCACGGCAACACAGGTTCCACGCATTGACAAAAACAGCGAAGTTTATCCAGCTGATGAAATCTGAACCGAATTCCTGTCAAAAAAAAAAAAAACAAAACATTGCCTTAATAAAATCTCATGAGAATCAATAGGCCTTTGTATCAGATAGATTATGTATCGGGCGCAACCTTACTGCTAGATAATGTATGTTTACTGTTCCAATTGTTCTCTTTCTAAGTATTTATTGTTTTTGAAAGATCTCAGGCTCTATCCCAAACCAAAACCTAACAAGTCAGGTAAGGCTTGATATTCTAAGCCTATATAAATGAGTCAGGCTTAGGTCAACTCAAGCTCAACCAAATTGCCATTGCTAAAGCTGATTTATGCATAGTACCCCTTCAAATATACTATTCTTGTCCATAGTGTGGATAAGTAATAGACTCCAGTAAAAGCAACAATCAATCCATCATACTAATACCTTGAATGATTTTTGACCTCTGGAGATGGCAAGAATCACACTAATCGCATCATCAAAAGAAAGACCAATGTTCCTTGCATATCTCTCCAAAAGACATTTTAGTTCGCCGACAGCACTAGCATCAGATAAAGAGCCATTACGATCATTTTCCTTCAAGGAGATGGAACCACTCTGAATTGACAGATAGACTAGCCGAGGAAGAATAGATTTTCTCTCAATAACTTTCTTCACGATGTATTCCTCGTCTCCACCTTTCTGCACACATTGGAATAGAATAGAGAAGTATAAAAAGCTTGAAAGAGCAATAACATTCAAACAGCATTTATTTTAGAAAAAAAAAAAGGAACAGTGATCTTGTGTCCTGAATTGATTAATAAATTCTTGCTAACAGACATAGACACAGGAAACCGATCAACAGAAACTTTTTTTTTAGACATTAAAGCCCAAAATCTTTAAGTCAATATACCAGTTAAAAAGATCTTTAGTTTGTAGAAGCCTAAGGTACATAAGCAACATCTTTTTTCACAACCAGTCTGCACCTTCTGTCTAAAGTTGCTAGATTGCCTTAATTTGATAGGCATATGGATTATCAACTTCAATTACTAAAGAGTACAAAATAAGCAGTAAAAAGAATAGGAAACGGGAAAGAATAAAAGATGGCAATAGTCGAAACTAAGGCAAACATTAGGTGAAGAATAATTCCAGTCAATCTTATTAATGAGTCTTTTTTAATGGGTTTATATATAGGGATCATATCGACACTGGATGATTCTTTCTGTTCAATGTCAGGCAACTCAGGTTAAAATAACAACAGTCTTCAGGACTGTTGGTGATTCAGTTGAAGTGGGCAGACAACAGGAACAAAGAGTGAAATCAGATTCTGGTAAAATCCAATCCAAGATAACATATCCAATCCACTGTACATATAGATAATCAAAGGAAACCAACAAATTTGGCAAATAAGTCTTTTTTAGTGAAATGGTGCATTGTGATAAATTGTGCAGGTCTGGCAATGAATATCAAAACGATAAACATAATAAATGCCAAATGAGCATGACTAAATTACAAAGGCATAAGGAACATTTCACTTTATTACTTCAATTTATTTGAAACACGAGACCAAGAAAAAAAAACATCCTGTACCATTAAAAGCAAAATGAATTACAGAACTAGCAATATCTTCACATTGACATCTTCAGCAGAAATAGAATTAGTTAAGAGTTAAGAAGCATACTAAGCTCTCTCTTAGGCATGCAGATCCTTCTTCAAAACATCCTGTACCATTAAAAAGAATCAGTTAAAACCAAGCTTCGACAACTAACCACCCTTACAACCAGAACTTTCAGAATGCATACTGTGTGACAAAGAAGTATAATTGACAGATTGAATTTAGTTTTACAGATTACTAAAATTTTGGAACTGGAATGTGAAAGAACAGGTGATCAGAAAACAGTGCCATGACAAGCATAGCATGCCTGACCTGAAAGAAGATTTACACTGGAGGTTGGAGACCACCAAGGTCTTGCTTGGAGATCTTCGTTAAATGTCAAAGATTTCAGTTTATCTTCATTCGACATCTCAAGAAACCTGGAGCCATAGTTCAGGTTTTCAAAGATGCACTGCAAACACAAAGGAACAATTTATTACTGAATGTCATTACTAAGAATTAGAATGGTTAAAGAGATGATAGTGTTACAAATAACAAAATTTGTTTACCTCCACTTCTTGAAGACTATCTGCTTTCTGCTTAAGCTGCAGAATGGACACATCAAGCCTTGCCATCAAAAGTTGATTCGAGTTTTCTAGGCGATCTTTAAACTGAACAAACTCAATTACCTAATAAACAAATATGACATGGAACATCAAAATTTCTCAGAATCACATACAGCACAAAGTGGGTAATCCAGCAGCAACATAGGCTTCAACAAGCAAAATACACATTGTTCCAAAAATTAACTTACTATTTGATGAACCAATATGTATTCAAAATAATAATAATTTAGCGAAACCATCTAGATGAGAGCAGTATAAACTTAATTTTTCCCACAAACTCAGTTGTACAAACATTTAACAGAATTTCAGTAAGTGGAAACTGTTCTCTTTGTTGCATGTAATGGACAGATTATGATGTCTATTGTATCTTGATGAGCAAATCAAGAGTAACATATATGGCATAAAAGACATGCAGATAAAACTAACATCCTTATTCTTTCACATAGTTTTCAGTTATACAGTCAACACAATGAGGATCCGAAAAGGAAAAAAATAAAAAGACATACATACTTTTGAGTAGTTACGATGACGATATGCAACACAAGTAAGATCAGCAGCTTCTCGCAAATGATCATCCATAAATTTCAGATAATCTTTCAAAAGATCACCATTTTCCTGCCAAAGTGGTGAACTGATCATTTGGGGCAAAATGTGGTGGGAAACTGTCTCCAGAAGGATGTTTTTGACATCCAGTGTACTATACCTACAAAACAAACATAAACCTTAGAAAGAATGTAGCAGTAAACAATATAAGATGCCAATACCCTTGGCATGAGATGAGTAGTTTCTAATGATAAATAAGGAACTGTGTTGATCCACATCTAAGAACTAAGATTACCATTCATATGCTAATGGTAGAGCTCCCAAGTAAGAGTACAAATGCAATAATAGAATCTTGTACTGCCAGACATATCTGATCAACATGACAGACAAGTCAGGAACAGGGAACTGCAAAAGATTTATCCAGCATATATTCAGAAAGCAACCAGTAATAGAACCAATAATAAGCACAAGACTTCAGCATTAACAAACAATTTAAGTAATCCTCCTGAAACATCTTCAGCAAGGATATGGTTCTCATAGCATGCGGGCAAGCCAATCACCAACATACATGATCAATGCCACAGTATTGTGGCAGTGTCATGCCCATCTTGGTTGTGTGCCAGGAATGCAATTAATAAGTCAAGAAATGAAGTCAGTAAACACAGGTGTGTCACAGCCTTTGGCGAGCACAGTTGGGCCATCTAATACTCCTAATCTTCCAGCATTGCTCAATCTAACAAGCCATTTTGGCAAATTTCAGATCCTGCATAGCCATGACCATCAAATAAATGTTTACTATAATTCTCACATATTTTTCACCTGCGTAGCCATTTTGGGCAAATGTTTACTTCTGCAGCAATTTTTCTCTCAATACAAAATATAACTCTTACTGCCTCAGCTTTAATAAAATAAATAATCCCTCGCAATCCAGAGGATTCACTAGTACAAATGTCAAAAGTCTCTCTATCATGCAGAAGTTAGTGAGAAAATGAAAACACCTAAATAACAACTGTATTTGGAAAATTCTCAACCAAAAAGAGCATCACCCCAGTTTATTTTTATGAACTTTTACCACAAGAAAAAAATTCAATATTTTCCTTTGGCATACTATCTATCACATTCTAGTGCTACACGATGATCTATTCCTTATTTAAAAAACCAAGAAGTTATATTTTTTCTTCATCCTTTGAAATAAGATGAGAATGAGAATCTACAATTGTCACATAGCACAGACAGTAGTCACATGTACATGCATCATTAGGCACACTACAAGGATAAAAGTTAGGAGGACAGCCGATAATGGGGTCCCAACAGTAGGCCAAAAAACAAAAATGTAGATAGCAATACTTCAGTTTAATAAAACCAAGAGTTAAAGACAACAACATATAATTTTATATACCTTCTTATGTTTAGGCCATACTCCAAAACCATAATTGCCTCCAACAAATATCCCAGCTTCCTAGTACGCCAAAACAGCTGCAATAAGTTGTAAATTAGAAAAAGGTTACTTTCGTAAGAAATAATTCAGTTTGACCAAAAACTAGCTTTTATTTCTGCTTGGGCCTAATGCAGATTTTTTTGTTTCTTTTTTATTATGTCTTTTTGGAGTTTGGAATTAGCTTTGGGTTCACTAGAGAAGTCGATGAAAGCATGAGAACCAAGAAAAGGATCAGAACAAAAGCAAAAGGTTAAATAGAACTGAACAAAAAAAAATATCTTTTAGACATTTACAATGTATGGATACACTATTTTAAGTCAGAAGTTTACAAAGTAGTAAACTCTCAAGAATTTTAAATGCTATTAAAATGTTTATGTAAATATGTCAAGGACGTACATGTGAACTTATTCATGCATTGTTCAGGAATTTAAATATAAACATTAACCGAACTAATTTAAAAAAAAAGGTTGTTTCTGGTTGGAGTTCAAATTTCCATGAAAGAATACAAAGTATCTAATGGTTTTTTTAAGAAAATTTGCATGAATGAAAAAAAAATTCCAAATAAAAATATACCAGGACAAGGATATTGCTGGCCATTGATAACAAATCTTCTCCATGCATGTTTTCCTGAGGGTCCAGGTCCCTTGAAAGTTTAAGGTCTTTACAAAACATTTCCAACATTTTTCTAGCAGTGCCTTCAAGTTCTGAGTATGATAGCAGGACATATAAAAAACATAAGTGACAGTAAAGTAATCACAAAAGTGGTCATGCATTAAGTAGCCAGCACAAATAGACTGAAAATGCTCTGATGTCTATATCCAACAAAAATAGGTGAGCAAAAGAGTCATTTAACATGAAAAATGAAAAATATTTTCATGTAAAGGTAAGTTGTATTATGAAAGAAAAGAAAGAGCAAAAAAGTGTTAAGGCATGCTAGGTGAAGAACAAGGTCCTTTAGAGAACAAATTGATGCAAAAACACAAGATATCAATCTAAAGAAGAAATGTACTGAAAAAACAAATTACGTAATTACATAAGCTATAATGTACATAACATGATAAATTGGTCTCTAATCTGGCTAGGGAATTCAACGATAATAAAGTGCCTGCAGCCAGTTACTAAATGAACTGGAACAAGTGCCAGAAAGAGCAGCTGTACCACCAAAGGCATGTTAGGACAAGATAGGTGATGGAAAGGCTTCCAAGTCAGATTAGAGCTATTCGAAAAAAGAGGCAAAAAAATGATTTTCCTGAACCAGGGTCCAGCACAGGCCTGGGAAAAAAAACAGATGCAACAAGGGACTGCTATCCCTTGTCAGCTGGTGTAATTTCCCACCAACGCACAAACAAACATACAAAGAAAACCAAAATTAAAAAAAGGGATTTTGATTTCCATAGGCATGGCACCTCATTTTTTCTAATGCAGAATTAAGGCTCGGTAGCCCATTTTGCTTTTCTCAACACTGTTTTGAATGTGATCTGAACCCATACACTTGGCAGTTAATGATTCTTCTCTTTTTCATCAACAAGGGACCGAAATCAACAATCTGCAAAACCTTCCAATCTATGAGCTAATCTTTGAGCCTCAACCACTAATCGGTTTCTATTTGCTTATTCTCATGTATCAAGAAGCTATTTTATAATTGCTAAGGAAGTGAATAATTAAAATTTTTTCGTGCACAATTGTCCATAAATGATCATGAACACTCAAGTTCTGTCATGCCCTCTAAAAATGTCCATAAATGGCAAATGAAATGAATGGTTAAAGCCCTCCAAAAAATCCATAAATAGAGAATATGAATGGTTAAACATGGTCCCATGATAACATAAGCATAAGTTCGAGATGCCTAGATTACAAAATGGCAGATCTAGATTCAGCCACAATATTAAATTGGTGAACATTAACATTAGTGCAATACATGTAGAACTAAAACGATATTATGCAGCTATTTTAAGCATAGAGTAAATTAATAACTTTACCCACCCCTAAGAGAGAGAATGAACATGAAACCAAAAGATTCTTGTACTTTAAAAACTGTCATAGCATGGCCCAGGGCTTTTATAGGGGATGCAGATGTTGATTCCAAAGTTCTCATATTGTCTAATAATTGATCTTTCTCATCATCAGTTAGGAGGCGAAGAAACATTTCCACATCAGAAGTAAAGCAAGACAAATGACCAAACCTGCGGTCTCCCAAACAAAAAAGATGAAAAACAATATAAGACTACTATATCTTGGATTCAAAGATAATATTAGAGCAATATAAAAATTATATTACTATGATCCTAAATAGATAACATCAAATAGAATTTGTCACAACTAAGATATCAAAACTTGACAGAATATTTGGCTTTTGATATTACAAACCAGAAAAAAGAAAACACTATGATCAAGTAGTTCATTGCATTCATCAGGTTAATATAGTACAGAGTTAAGATTTAGTTTAATTACAAACAATAAAAAGAACAAATACAGAAAAAATAGAGCTAAACATAAAACATATCCACTGTCTCGAGAATATATTTATCACATTACATTATGAAAATGTAGAAGACATTGAAATATAAATTGCAAGGAAACAAATAAGATCGATGCTCATTTTCCCACTTTATACAGAAAATACAATTAAACTTCCACCAACCCATAATAAATTCTTTTGCATTATTGAAATGAAGTGACTGATACGGAACTTTCAACAACCAGAAAGTCTCATCTGGACGTGGATCAAACACAAGGCTTCAAAGAAACAAGTATGAATTACTGTTTACTCAGAATGCACAGAGGATAAGATGCCCACTTTTAGCAAGTTCATATATCATATCCTACAAAAACAATAACATAAGCAGTGGTAAAAATGAAAAGCACAAGAGTTGAAGCAGCACAAAAATTTCTCCATGAATAGTCTGTGTTCAAATTACATGAAAATTAAAGAAAAAAAAAGAATGATTTGTTTATGATTCAACCAATCAGCAAATTTAATAATTCAGGTATTACTTCCTAATAAAAGCAACCCATTGATCACTCCAAAGCAAGATAAACATGTCTCATATCCAGTTAAAACGAGACAAATACAAACCTATAAAAATAATTCAGCAAAGACTCCATGAACTTGCCATCATGTTCTATTCCATGCAGACGGTGACGCCGTTCAATTTCAATTTGTGCTAAGTGAGGTCCTCTAACACAATCATTACAGCAATCCATTTGCAGCTTTTGAACGAATGATAGAGCATTGGAGATTCGTGAATCAAACTGTATGTTTTTGTTCACAAGAAAAGAAAAGAAAAAGCTCCATATTAAGGAAAAACTTAAATTTCCCACCAAAAATGCATTGCAATAGAAGAATTATCATATTCATGGTTTCAAGTGTACCTCATCCTTGGTTAAATGAGTTGCCTTGCATGCTTTAATGTCATCAACACATGGTAAACATGATTGATGGGAGGAATTTGTCTTGGACCAGTTCACATCCTCCTCCAACAAACATGCTAAATAATGCAGAAATGTCTGCCAATCATCCGGACTGCACAATCAAAGAAGTACAAAGGTCAAATATGGTGGTAACAAAGAAAGATCAAATATAGTGAAAGCCAATTACAGACAGGGAATCAGACTGCTTAGATAGTGCATTAAGAATTACAATTAAAACTTAACAAGCCACAGAAGAAAAAAATAAATAAATACACTTTTCTAGCAGAAAGACATGTCAGTCTTATATATTAGAAAAACTTAAATTCTTAAGCCACAATAGAAGGAGAAATTAGAACTAAGAGTACAGCATTCTACTAAGAAAGATATAATCATCCCTATAGCTTCCATATAATATTCACCTTTCTTAGTTAAGCATATTTACAATTTTCCAAGAAATGAAGCTTATTGATCTAACCCTGACAAACCTAACCTTTATGTGAATCACTGTCAATGACTATCAGAAAACTGTGACCATCCACTATTATTTTGCTAATTTCTCCCACAATAATTAGCCAGAAGACCATGCCAATGGCCAAAGCTTACCATGAGCCAAAGAGGTTTTTGCAAGCTATTGTTGCAAGTGAAAGTAGTAATTTGAAAATTGAAGAGACTAATTAGATATTTTCTTCGCTATCAAATTGGTGCATTTGGCGAGAGAGTGAAAAAAAAAAGAGAGGGGATGTTGAACAAGAAGAAAAATATTGAGAGAATCCCTTAGTGACGAATCAGTTATTCACGTAGATTGAAGACTTCCAGCCTTTTTAACTAGGAAAACAATCACAATTTTTATAAAGGTTCTAACCATAATATCTTTTAAAGAAGGCCATTTTTGCACTTCTGTTGCAGACTGGTATGTATCTGCTCAATTCCCAGAAAACAAAAACCAAAAAAGTGACGTATTTCATAGTTCATAACACCATCTATATCATCCAGGCATTCTAGTACCATCCATTTGAAGTCTGTAAAAAAGCTAGCAGTAGCATCAATAATCTACATAGTCATAGGATGATCAAATACCATGACTCTAGGACTCTCTGGAAGATCTCTGCAGCAGCAGCATAGTTACATGCACGTGCAAGAAGCCTCCCCTGTCAACTTGACATCAAAAAAGGACATCAGAGAAGAAAAATTGGTAGATTTCAACTATAGTACATGTGAGACATCTCTTAAAAACCAAACCATAGTCTCATCTAACAGATTATATCAACTTGATGCAGCCAATTTAGTATATATGAGGGAAAAGGACAAATGTGAGAACTGAGAAGGACGAATATTGATGACAGTAATATTTAGTACAATCCAGGAACTCTACCTGGATCCTTAGCTTATCCTCTTCAATTCCTATAAGAGAACCCAGATTCCCAGAAAGAACTTCCAGAGCTGCATCATACTTTTCTTGTTGTTCCAGTATTGATATATACATAACAAGTGCTGAAGTGAATTTGAATGGTCACATTAAGCATAATAATTAAGTATAATAATCCAAACAAAAAGAGATTATAAATGGTGCCAAGATATATGAAGATGAGAAAAAAATCCACACCATCTGGCTCATGCAAGCTATGAGAAGCCATGTGCTTCTTAAGTAAAGCCTCTGCCAACTGCAACAGTTTGTGACCACTGCTGTTGCAAACTACCTGTCATACATGACCAATTGACCAAGCATTCAGAAAACATACCAAATGTCTGATAATAAACTTAAAATTTATAAGAAAACATATTCAATATCTAAAATTTAATTTCAGATAATATCACAAAATTTTCATGGGTTGAATTTTCAAAACCAACAAAGGTAGAGTCAAGGTTTTAAATACTGATCAGTACATATTTATTGGTCTGACAAAAGACCATATGGTCTGATACCAATCATATGTCTTTCAGCTGATACCGGACGGTCCCGGTCAATATACCAACTGGTTCATCGGTACCATACTAGCCAGTAGATCAAGATTAAAAACCATAACCTGGACAAGAAAACCACACTATTTAGGAAATTTTGCTCAATCCGGACCTCAGCAACCACAACAGGAACTTTCTATACATAACATGTCATCAACTTGGGAAGAATTAATCAG